AGGAGAGTGGCGGTTGCCAGGGGCTGGGAGGAGAGGAGAATGAGGCACGATTTCTCTGGTTTAGGGTTTTAGTTTTACAAGATGAAGAGTTCTGTGGAGGGGGGGGGTGGTGGTTGCACGACAATGTGAATGTACATAATACCACTGAATTGTACACTTAAAAATGGTTAAGATGGTCAGTTTTATGCTATGTGTATTTTACTGCAATTAAAAAAGAAATCAGGGGCTGGCCCGGTGGTGCAGCAGTTAAGTTCACATGTTCTGCTTTGGTGGCCCGGGGTTCCCCGGTTTGGATCCCGGGTGCGGACATGGCACCGCTCATCAGGCCATGCTGTGGCAGGCATCCCATGTATAAAGTAGAGGAAGATGGGCACGGATGTTAGCTCAGGGCCAGTCTTCCTCAGCAAAAAGAGGAGGATTGGCAGCAGATGTTAGCTCAGGGCTAATCTTCCTCAGGAAAAAAAAAATAAAAATAAAAAAGAAATCAGGGTATTACAAAGCTACCTATTTACTAATCTGTGGCATATTTAACACAATATCAAACACACGTTCACAACTCGAAGCAGAATCTATTCCAACCCTCTAGAAAGTTTAGCCAACGTGCTTCAGGTTATAGAAGGCAAACATTGAGGAGGAAAAAAAAACGGCCTTTAAACCCACCTCTCAGATAACAGCTCTACTGAAATTTTACAGAAGGAAAAAGAATTCACGTGCATGGTTAAAAAACGCGAAAGGTACAAAAAAGGAGCAAAGTGAAAAATAAAATAAATTCTTCTCTTGCCCCACCTCCTTGTCCCTCCCCCCAAAGCCGGCTCTGGTTAGAACATTTATTTTTTTCCTTCTGGTTCTAGTGCTCGTCATAAGAGATTTGAAAGACTCCACACGCTGACTCCTGACTGTAGGCTGTCTCCCGCCTTGGAGGGGCTCTGTGATGTTGACACATAATAAGCCCCATTTTACAGACAAAGAACCTGAGCGGAAGGGACTTGTCCAAGGTCACACAGTCAGAGAGTGCAGCTGGGAGTCAAACTCAAGCAGGTTGACACCACTACCCTGGGCTTCTCCTCCCCTCCAGGCCCTCTCCTGGGCACGCCCTTTAGGGTCTCTCCAAGCCTCCACGCCAAGCGGGAGGACTAAAAATTTGCCCCCAACCTCTACAGCAGCCATTTGTCCTATCTACACCTCTCGCTCTTGGAAACCAGCCCTTCCCTTCTTCCACTTAAGTCTGGAGAGGTTGGCTGTCAATCAAGGGGGTCTCCTGACACCCACTCTCACAGGGACACGTGACCCAAGCTGGCCAATCAGGGCACTGCTTTCCCCTAGCCCCTCTGGTTTGGAGCCAGACATGGGATCCAGACTGGACCTATCAGAAATCTTCTCTGGGACATTGACGGCACCACCAGAAAACACACACTATTTTTACTAGGAGCCCTAAGGATCAAACAGCTTTACCCTCCTGGCAGCGCCCTTTGTCACCCTGAGAGGCTGGCCTGGAATGAAACCAATGCAGAGAGAACAGAGCTTAGAGTGGCAGGGGTTCCAGATTCCAGAGGCTTTTCTTTGAGCAGCTGGATGCAAACATACCTGAAGCCGTTACTCCTGACACTTTGCAGCCAGAGGATGAAAAGTGGAACAGTTTCCAAGATATGTGAAGTGAAAAATTAAGGCTAAGAAACGTGTACAGCATTCTTCCATTTGTGTGGAAAAGGGGGTGAAGATATATCTGCATGTAAATGTCTTACCTACACAGAGCATCTCTGGGGATGGAAAGGTGATTTAGTTTTCCTTGTGCTCCTTTTTGTAGTTTCATTAATCAGGACTATTTCAGGTGTGAAATAAGCTAATTCAGATTGCTGAAGAGGTGGGGGGAAGAAAGAAAGGAAAAAATATTTATTGATTCATGTAACCAAAAAGTCCAAGAGTTTTGGCTTCAGGCATGGCTGGATCCAGGTTCTCATATTAATATAAATGATATTCTCGTTCTCTCTTCTGGCTCTGCTTTCCTCCATATTGCCTTGGATTCTGAAAGCCTACCCTCTCTGACCTCCTCTATTTCCCCTCCTGCTTACTCTGCTCCAGCTACACTGGCCTCCCACACACCAGAAATACTCCTGCCTCAGGGCCTTTGTACTTCCAGCCCATGTGGAGGCAAGATGGCCTCCATCGGCATGAAGCTTACATTCTACTAGTACAGAAGAAAGAGAGCTTTTATTCCCAAGAGTTCCAGCAAAACTCCGAGAATTCTCACTGGGCCAATCATTGTGGTCTGGCAGAAGGAATGCTCTGATTGGCTGGCCTGAGTCATGTGACATCCCTGGAACTTGTTGGGGTGATGGTGTCAGATGGAAAGTCTGAGGAAGGGAGGTGCTGTTCTCCAGAGGAAAATAAGTGAAATTGCCAGAAGAAAAGGGAATGGATGAAGCTGGCCTAGTGGTGTCATGGTTAAGTTTGCACACTCGACTTCAGCAGCCTGGGGTTCACGGATTCGGATCCCAGGTGGGGACCTACACACCGCTCATCAAGCCATGCAGTGGCAGCATCTCACATACAAAGTGGAGGAAGATTAGCACACATGTTAGCTTGGGGCCAATCTTCCTCACCAAAAAAGAAAAAGAAAAAGAAAAAGAAAAAGAAAGAAAAGGGAACGGATGCAGGGGGAGCAGAGCCAACAGGCTTCTACTTCATTGCTGTTTAATTTTTTTAACATATACATGTATTACTTTTATTACTTTAAAGAGTAGTGAACTAAAAAAAATAATTGAATATACGTAGGACACACATGAATCTCAAAAACATTACGCTGGAACATTATGGGAAAGAAAGCAGACACAAGAAACTATCCGCTGTGTGACTCCGTCTATATGAAGTCCCGGACGAGGCAAAACCAAGCTTTGGCGGAAGAGGTCATTGCAGTGGTTGCCCCTGAGAGGCGGGGTGGGGACTCACTGGGAAGGGCACGAAGGAACCTTCTGGAACGATGGTGTCTTGTTAAGGCTGCAGGTAATACAGGTGCCTGCAAAACTCATCCAACAGTTCACTTAAGATTCGTACATTTCTTAGTAGGTAAAATATTTATTTTACCTAAAAGTGAAAAACGATGGATAAATGGATAAGGAAATCAGTAAACCCACCTCTTTATTCTTGACCTATATGCTGCCAGCGCCCATGATGGAGAGCTTTACCAAGAACCTCCAAGGGCCCCCGGTCCAGCCACCATCACCTCCTCTCTGGGTTCTCAGCTCCGCCCTCACCCTCACATCCTCGTCCCCACCTGCAGCCAGAGGGCTCCCGTGAAAATCCTCTGCCCAGAACCCTCCATGGCTCCCCACTCCCTCAGATTAAAACCCAAGGCCATCCTTGCCAAAGCCCACGGGGTGCTGCACGATCAGCCTCCAAAATCCTCCCAGCCTCACCTCTCCTCCTCCTCCTCCTTCCCTCTGCTCCGGTCACAACAGCCTCCTTGGACCAGCCATTCTCCTGCCTCCCTTCGTGCTGGCTGTTCCCTCTGCCTGAGATGCTGTTCCACCGGCCAGCTCTTTGTCTCACTCTCTCACCCCTTCCAGGTCAGTTCAAATGTCACCTCCTCAGAGAGGCCCTCCCTGACTACTCTACACGATAGCCAGTTCTCTCTCTCACAGACTGGCCCTCACCTCGACCCTTTCCTGCTTTATAGCCCAACACAGTCCTCACCGCGCTGACGTATCATCACCTCCCTCCTCATGTGTGGTCTGTCTCCCCACCAGAACGTGAAAGCCCGGATGAAAGAGGAAACTGGAGCCGACTTCCTCCGGAGCCCCCCAGGGCCGCATCCTGGACCCCCCTCCCTGGGGCCGTTCGAGCCTTTCCTGATGAACCAGGTGTAACCAGAGGGAGTGACTACATCCTGAGAGGCACTTAACGATCTTGGCCAATTGTGGCTTTTCCCCCAGAGGGGGCGGGGGGAAAGGACCCGAAAAAGAAGCCTTTTACCTGGTCTTCACGTGCTCGTCTCCAGGACCCAAAGAGCTCCCGGGTCCTCAAAGTCCAGCTCCCCTTGTGGTCTCTTGTGCGTCTTCCCTCCGTGACGAGCTCCACTCACTTTTCGCACCGCCCTCATCTTGACCCCGAGCATCTTCCTCTTCCTCAAGTGTGAGCCCCCCCCCAACCTACGTGCGCCTTAGAAACCTCGGGACAAACTGTTAAAGATGCAGATTCCGAGCACAGCCACAACCCCCAAGGACCCCAACTCAGTAGGTGGTGCCCAGAAACGGCATCTTTAACAAAGACCCCAGGGGACCCCATGAGGTGGCCACCCTGGTTCAGGAGCCCCTAGCAGGAGACGGGCTTGGGCAGGAGAAAGCTGGGTTTTTAGCTCAAAGATCTCAGTTTCCGTCCAAGGGGAGGGGAAGGAAGGGCTTTTGCCTTCCGGCTGCTTTTAAAAGTAAACTAGCCTTTTCAGAGAATCCACAGCACCAGTTACCTGTTCTAGAAAGTTCTAGAAACCCCAAGACCTGTGGGAGAGGCCTTCACATTGGCGGAAGGCCACAGAGCAAAGAGGAAAGACATCTCCATGACTGCTTCTCTCAGGAAAAATTGACAGCCCCTGAAGCCTGAACCCAGGTCTGACAGCAGCCCACGCCAGGCCGGGGGTCTAGGACAGTCTGCACTGCTCAGCATGGGAACTCTTTTCTCAAATTAAATAGTCCACACCAGCTCCACCTATAAAGGAGACTCAAGAGGGGCCAGCCTCGTGGCTAAATTCTGTGCTCTGCTTTGGTGGCCCGGGGTTTGCCAGTTAGGATCCTGGGTGTGGACCTACACACCATTCATCAGGCCATGACGAGACGGCGTCCCACATAGAAGAATTAGAATGACCTACAACTAGCATATACAACTATGTACTGGGGCTTTGGGGAGAAAAAGAAAAAAAGAGGAAGATTGGCAACAGATGTTAGCTCAGGGCCAGTCTTCCTCACCAAAAAAAAAAAAAAAAAGCATGCAAAAAAAAAAAAGACTCAAGATACTTTGCTAAACTTTATTTTATAACATATACAGTTACAAATCATGGTGTTACTTTGTTAACACAATGAAGCCCTTCCGGACCTGATTTTGAAATGAGTTGCTGGAGAGTCGCAGGCTTTCATCACCTTGAGAGTCTGATTCACTCCTGGGTTTTGCTTTGCACAAACCCAAGGAAAACCTTGACACACAGATGAACAGCTGCAAATGCAGACCATTCTCTTTTTCTCTCCGCATCGCCCGTGGCACTCATCCAGGCTCTTGACATCAATTGTCACAAGAAACGTGTTTTCAAAGTTGAGTCACTAATGACATCTAACAACTGTTTACATCCTTTATCACGAAAACTGAAGTCAGAAGAGAGACTGTGAAACGCAGAGGGCTACAACTTTCTAGGATAGGATATTATTAGTGTGGGCCACGTTAATACATTTATTTGCTATCACACAACCAAAAATCACAAGAGCACGTGACGTGAATTACACAGGAAACTGCTTTCAGAGTGTCCCCTTACGGAGCATGCGCGGGACGGAAGCTCCCCCACGTGTAACCTTTCCCATCCGTCACGACAAGAAATTCATGATACGCAAACAGACGGCAGAAACAATTAATTTGAGACCTGTGCAAAAACGAGTTAACTCAGGAACACAAGGTCTCATTTTGACAGTCTCCTATGTCACTGGTTTGGCTTACAACATACTCGAGTAGTCATTTTTCAGTTTTTTATTTTTAAATACATGAAAAAATAGATTCAGATTATATCTCTGAGCGCACCTGGGCCTCCCCAGGATGGTCTGGAAACCACGGGTCTTGGGAGCCCTGCCCATCCCCCTGCACCCACGCACACGGGACACGTGTTTCACTCGGGTCTATTCAGAGGACAGAAATTCACAGCCAATTTTTTAAAAAAATTTTTCCCTCTCTTACTAAAAGGTGAGAAGTGTCTTCAGCCTCAAAGATGTTGAGATTTCGGTGGCACTGGATGGAGTTAGAGCCGGGAAGCCGGGAAGGCCCAGGTCCTGCCCCACCCATCACTCCTCAGCCCTCCAGGCTTCTTGAGACGACGGTGTTACCCCAAATGAGAACCCAAGGACCATGATTATTAACAGAACCTAAAACTCAAATACCTCAAGGCCTAAGCGGATATTCTTTTTCCCCAAAACTAACTCCTGGGACCTTACCACGCTCGGGTTAGATAACGGGAGGAGCTGAAGACCAGGAGGAGCAAGGAAGCCACATCCGCGTTGACGGTCTCGGTTTAACTTCTCTGCGGTCAAAACGCAGAGAAGGTGGAAGGGAGAACACGGCCACCCTGCTCTTCAACAAGCCCTGCAGAGGTCGGCTGAGCATCGGGAAGAGGAAGCAGGGAATGGAGGAGAAAGGCTGAACCTGGATAAGCCTAAGAGTGACCCCGCCCATGTATGAAGATGAATGTTCTAGAACTTTCTCGATCTGCTTGGAGACTCTCCAACCTCTGCAGGTGGATCTAGGAGGAAGCGAAAAAGCAGGCCCGGCAGAAGATCTCATGGGTCATGTACCTCTGAGAGCCGGATGTCTTCAACCTGGGTTCCTAAAAGAGCCCCAAGTCTTGGTTCATTCAATGACAAGAGAAGGCTTTGTTCCCACCTGGGAACTTCATCCTCGGTCTCCTTTCAACTCCTCAGGTATAGGTGGTCCCCCGCCTAGTCAAAGCCTTCTGGGTGCTGTGGATAAATCAGAACAGCTCAAGAGGGGAAGCAAGGAAAGGCGTCACTTGGCACATTTCTTTTCCTTCCTTGGACTTTATGAGTCTTTGAACATTTCTATCGCCCCCGACCAGAACTCTGGAAAACGCCACCCTCGGGGCCACCTACCGTGATGAAGAATATAGCCCCAAAGCACTCAATTTTTATCCAGGGAGATAGATCAGATGGAGAGGCAGAATGACTGAGAATACCAGAGCAACACGCATCACCATAACTTAGGTTGGTGGGTTCGCTTTGCCACCAACTGCCCCCATGGGTGTCCCTAGTGTTGGCCTTCAGGGACTCCCAGGAGAGAGGTCAGGGCTCTCGCCCTCTAAAACCTCAACTGGTGTGTCACCTGCTTCCTCCACTGCACTGGGGCCCTCCTCATGGACCACTGGCCCCTCCACCCCCTGGGATCCCTCCCCCCTCAACCACTCGTTGACACAACCCAAATGACTTCCCTTGTCATTCTTGCCATTGGAGGTGTGAGGAGGGCCTTCTGGCTTGGCCTCTGGACCCTGTGACGTCGAGGCTGGTGACTCATCGGGCTGTGGGCCTCGTGGGGCCTTCTGAGCTGCTGCATCCCGTCTCAGGCCTGGTCCTCTCCTTGGCATCACCGGCTTCTTCTTGGCATCTTCCGAATCAACAAGGACATAAGAGACATGGCCCAAGCTCACCTTTTTGTTCTTCTTCGTGGGGGCAGGGCGCTTTGCCGAGGCCCAGCCCACCGCCTTCTTCTTTGGGGGGCCCTCCCGACCACCAGCTTGCTCTGACTCGGAGGCAACTCCAGGGCTCGCAGCTGCGGACCGTGCACCGGGAGGTGGGTTGCTGGGAGCCTTCCAGACACATTTCCCCACGGGCTTCTTCCAAGCTGACTCCTCCTGCTTCACACAGGGCTTTTTCTTGCTCCTGATGTATTCTGAGATCTCCATATTCTCAGCATCACCAGCCTCAGGACCCTCCAAGGAGGCTGAGCTGTTGGAACAATTGCCTTTGGCTTTCTTCCAGGGCCCTGGTTCCTGCTGGGGGTGGTTTTTCTGCTTCTTTCTCCTGGAGCCAGTCTTAGCACCAGCCTTGTGAAAGAAAGGTTTGGGAGGGTCGCCTTCGTCTCCCATGTCATGCCAGCTGTCCGGGTTCTCCATCTTCAAGGCAGAGCTCACCTCGGCAGCCTGCCCCGGCTCCTTCTTGATCTTCCTCCCTGCTGCTGAAGCCAAGACGGCTACCACCCCGGCCTCAGCCGCCTCCTGGGCCCTAGCTTCCTCGCGGCGGCGCATCTCAGCATCCATGTAGAAGACCACTTGCACCGTGGCCCCCAGGAGCACCCCCAAAGCTTCCGCCCAGCTCTCTGGGGGCTGATCCCGATTCTGGGGCGCTGGGGGGTGGTTGAGTTGGAGCAGGTGGACCACATCCTCCCACGTGCGCCCCTCGGTATCCAGGAATTCATTGAGATTTTTTAAAAACTCAGCATCCTGGGTGGGATCTCTACAGACCACCCTCCAGACGCCCCCCCTTCCTGGAAATTCCCGGGGGATGGCCCTCAGATTCACACCCTCGCTGACCTCAATGAGGACAGCTTTGGCATTCTCTTCCCTCAGAAAAATCTTGTTGAGCACGAGGTACTGGCCCAGCGGGGAGAGGACCCCATTCAACGTCTCCTCGATCTCCGCTTGCCCACAGTCCTCCGGGATGCCCGTGACCAACAGGGACCTGTGGATGTCCACCTCCATCCCCCGGCACCAGTCCTCCAGAAGATTCATGGCCATGGCCGCGGACACCTGGCGGCTCGAATCCCACGTGTAGGGAGGAGTCTACGCGGGCTGCAGTGGTCTCCGGATATTAATCCTGCAAGGTGACAGGAGAGGGAGGTCAGGGTTCGGGGAACATGGCCAGAGTCAGAGCCCTCTGCTGTCCCCTCCGCGGCTGGCCCGCAGGAGGCCTCGCGCTCTCCCCACGCCCTCCTCCCCACGCCGGCCCCGGTGCTCACACGTGTCCTGGAACCAGCGACAAGCGCGCTCGGCCACCCCTCCGCGGGCCTGGCTCTCGGCCGCCGGGCAGGGATCCGGCAGCCCCGCCTCCGACCGCCCGGGCGGGCCAGGGACAGGCCGCCGGGGTGCAGCCGCCCGCCAGGCGCCAGCTCGGCCGGAGAGGGCTAGTGATCGCGCCCGCGTCCGCGCGCCCGGCGGGTCCCCGCCTGGATCCCAACAGCTGCGCGGAGCCGAGGCCCGGGCCGCACGCGCGCATGCGCACTCGCTCCCGCGCCGCCGCGTCGCGGTCTCCATGGCAACTGCCAGCACGTGGGCTCTGCGATTGGGCCCGGGGCGCCCGGAGGCGGGGCGTCTGTGCGGCTGTTCCCGGAGCCGCGGGTCTGCGTGGTCTCCGATTGCTCCCCCGAATCCGTGCTTTCCACCCTTCCCCACTCCACGTGGGTCTCAGGGACGGGGGTGCGGTGTCCTGGCTCCTAGTGCTGCGTGAACTTCCCCACTCTTCTCTGCCTTTCTCTGGGGTTCAGCCAGTGGGACTCCTGGGAGACCCCAGAAATCAGGGGGCGAAAGGAAAGAGCAACTTTAATCCCCCTGAGCTCTTCTGACAAACCCACAGCTGCTCTCGGGAGCCCCGTGCTTCAGTTACAGGGTTTCAGGGATTTCCAGAAGCTTCTAGAAACTCCCCCTCCTTTTTCTTCCCCGTCTTCCCACCCTTCAAGCCTAGGGGCCGTCCGTCATCTTTTCTTGCTGGTTTCCTCGGTTTGCTGCCTACGGGCAACACCTTTGTTAATAGTTATTGAAACGCTCCTCTGTGACTCACTTTGCGTGGCCATGTAAGTCCTGTCAGGCCCTCACTCATACGCTTGGCAATGTCCCGTCCTAACTGTGCAGTCTCGGACGAGCAATTTGAGCTCTCTGAGCTTCTTCCTCTTCTCCACAATAAGAATACCAGTTAAAACCTTCCTGGTCTGGAAATTTTGAAGATTCGTGGAGATCACATGTGAAAGATGCACGGATAGCCAGTTTTGGCCTGGGTGGTCAACCAAAGTCTGTTATTTGGATTCCATTTTGGAATTGGCCTTTGCAAGCCCAAAGAGCTGAATACCTATTTCACTGTCATCTCTGGCGTCCCTGAACTCGGGCGTGAGCAATGTTTGTGTGGTGGCCCAAGTTCCCATCATATTTCCGGCGTCATTCAAATTGTTAAATCTGAATATTCACATTCCAATAAACGCTCTAGCTATAAGAAGAGTTTTAAAATCTCACGTGTCTTACTTGTTGAAATTCTATGAATCAGCTGGAGAATGAATATGTATCATTATGCAGTGGTTTATAAGGATAACTATAAATTCCTTGACACTCCTGTTGACAAGTGTGGATCTGTGTCCCATCCTCTTGAACAAAGCAGACTTGTAACTGCTTTGACCAACAGAGAGTCTGGTAGGAGGGAAATGATGGAACCAGGAGAGTATCTGGAAGGGAAGCTATGTGACTTTCCAGGCTTGGCTATAAAAAGCCATGTAGGGGCTGGCCCCGTGGCCGAGTGGTTAAGTTCGCGTGCTCTGCTGCAGGCGGCCCAGTGTTTCGTTGGTTCGAATCCTGGGCGCGGACATGGCACTGCTCATCGGACCACGCTGAGGCAGCGTCCCATATGCCACAGCTAGAGGGACCCACAACGAAGAATATACAGCTATGTGCTGGGGGGCTTTGGGGAGAAAAAGGAAAAAATAAAATCTTTAAAAAAAAAAAAAAAAAAAGCCATGCAACTTCTTCCTTGCTCATTGAGACACTTGCTCTCTTGGATCCCTGAGCTTCGGAAAAAGAAGTTGCGCTATCCTCTGCCTGCCATGCTGGGAGAAAGACCAACCCACGTGGAGAAGCCACCTGTGTGCGCTCCACTCAACAGTTCCCAGCTGAGCCCAGCCTTCAAATGACCTCAGCCCGGGCACCAGACATCCGAGTAAAGAAACTTCCAGGTGATTCTAGCCCCCAACCGCTTGAGTCACTCTCCAAGCATTTACATCATCCCACCTGAGACCCAGACATGGCGTAGCAGAAACAAACCTTCTCTCTTTTACCAGGTGTGAATTCCTGAGCCGTGGAATCAATGAGTATCAGAAAACAGTTGTTGGTCTACACCACTAAGTTTTGGGGTGGCTTGTGATGCAGATGTAGATAACAGGAAGATATTGCAAAAGTAGAATGCAGCAGCTGGGGCTGGCCCCGTAGCCGAGTGGTTAAGTTCGCACACTCCGCTGCAGGCGGCCCAGTGTTTCGTTGGTTCGAATCCTGGGCGCGGACATGGCACTGCTCATCAAACCACGCTGAGGCAGCGTCCCACATGCCACAACTAGAAGGACCCACAACGAAGAATATACAACTATGTACCGGGGGGCTTTGGGGAGAAAAAGGAAAAAAAAAAATAGAATGCAGCAAGAATTAGTGATGGTGGACAAAGCACTACCACAAAAGAAAACTGGGAGCCACCATCTTAAGTCAGCCCCTGAAAAGATTCCCCAAAGCAGCTTTTGCTCGCGGTGCCCAAAGTTTCATTTCATGAGACTGTTTCCGTGAAACAGCGTCATCACCATCAACCAGATCTTCCAGCTTGTGAGTTGAAGAAAAGATAATTCTTCTGCTTTAGGCAGTTCCTTTTAGCAAGGAAGGAAAGCTGGATGGTTTGGTGACATGTCACCATCAGCAGAACCAGTAAAAAATGTTCCTTCATCAACCATTTAGTTTCATCAACGGGCAGCAGAGGAGCGAGCTTGTAGCTGACAGTGCTATAAAAGTCTACTGGCTACTGCATTTTTTTAAACAAAATTGTGGTACAAATTTAAAGGTTTTGCTAGAGTTTCAGATGTATGCTTCTATTTTCTAAAGTTCATCCTATGGTGGTGATTTTTTGCGTGTGACCAAATACTCAGCCATCCAATATTTTGTCACGTGTGTGTTTGGCCCTGACACATGATAAGCTGTTATTAATATCATAAAGGCAAGTGTTCTTAAGGGCCTTCCCACTCTGGAGCAGCGTTCTGCTGGCACCATCTTTTTGCTACCAAATGGGATGTTTTTTGTTAGAAGATTGTGGCAACTGGTACTAAAACCTAGTGCCAGCCTGGGGAGCTGTTGCAAATTAGCTGATTGAGAATGGATGAAATTAAGAAGCAAAAAAAATACCAAGTGTTGGTGAGGAGAAGAGAGACTAGACCTCTCGTACATGTACGTGGATGCCGGCCGTGTAAGTTAGTACAACTATTTGGGAAATCTCTTTGGCCGTATCTACTAAAGCAAAACATATACAAACACTACAATTTAGGAACTCCACTCCTAGATATATATATATCCAACAGAAATGTGTTCACTAAAAGCCATGGGCAAGGGTATTCATTGCGGCACTATTCATACGAGCCAAAATCTAAAAGCTACCCAAGTGGCAACCAACAGAAGAATGGATCCACTGTGGCACATTCACAGCACAAAATGCGCATCACGGAATGAATGATCTACAACTACACGCGACAATATAGATGAATCTTGCAAAATGGTGAGAAAAGAAGCCACATCCATAACAGCCAATACAATATGATTCCATTTATATGAACTACAAAGCCAGGCAGAGCTGATCTATGCATTAGAAGCTGGGGTCGTGGTTTCCTGTGTGATGTCTGATGACTTGAAATGCGGGGCTCCTAGGGGGAGGGAGAGCAGGTAGAGTTCTCTTTCTTGTTCTGCGTGTTCGTTACAGGGGTGTTCAGATTGTGAAAATTCAGAATGCCGGATGCCTACGATATATGCGCTCTTCTGTAAATATTTTATGCTGTAATAATAGCCTTTGCTGTTTTGATGATGGATTGGATGCGAGATGCAAGGGAAGCTTGCCCAGTGCAACTCCCAGGTTTTTGGAATAAGTAGCTAGAAAGAGGATGATGCCACTTTTCCTTATGGGGCAAGTTTGATAGAGGACAGATTTGGGGAAGAGGGGAGGGGGCGAATCAGAAGTCTAGTTTGGGTCATGTTGAGTTTGAGATGCTGTGTCGAGGGTCCCCAAGACCCTCAGTTTCGGTGATTTGCTAGAAGGTTTCATGGGACTCAGAAAGGTTATTATACTCACAGTTATAGTTCATTACAGAAAGAGGTTACAGATTAAAATCAGCAAAGGGAAAAGGTGCACAGGGAGAGCCCAGACCAGGCACAAGCTTCCAGTTGTCCCCTGCCAGTGGAGTCACGTGGACAGCAATTAATCCTCCCAGCAACAATATATGACAACACATTCAGAAAATTGCCAACCATGGAAACTCACCTGAGCCTTAGTGAGCAGGATTGTTATTCTAGGTCCATCACGTAGGCATGAAAACACCTGTGTGGCTGACCTTACTTGCGCAGCCTCCAGCCCCTCCAGAGGTCAACCCGATGCTGTGGCCCTCGGCCCCCACCATCCATCACGTGGTTAGCACAGGATTCTCCAAGGGCTTACAGGTTACCTGGGAGTCAGTTAAAGGCCACTCGTGACTTTGGAACGTGCAGGGTTTGGACAACCCATGCCTGTGGAGTTGACCATTTGTTGCAAGAATGCCTATGAGCGTATCAGTCAGGGTTCAGTGAGAGAAGCCGTTGACTATGAGTTAATGAAACATTCCAAAATGCTTGAGATAAATAAATATTTAAGAGAGACAAAAGAAATTTTAATTTGTTTATATATAAAAAGAAATATATAAATATAAGTATGTATTTATAAATGTACAATTATGTGTGTGTATCTAGGTATGTGTGCATGTGTATACACATGTATGTGTGTTGATGTATGTGTGTGTCCATGTGTGTGTAAGTGGAGTCAGCTGCCTGCCCACTCTCCCATCAAGGAGCCACCCTAATTGCCAGCGGATCTAAAAATAGTTTTGAAGCGCCCTTGATAGGAGTCCTAGCTGTGGTTTCCATGTCAACGAATGGCACTGTGGTTTCCATGGCAACGCAAAGTGCAGCCCCAACCCTTCCACCCATCTCTGCGCTTCGGGCTGAGGGTTACCTTCCCATCCTCGTTCTCTCCGTTTCACCTTTGGGTTTTTATTTTGTCTTCCTGTATTTTTAAATGAGAACCCACAGAGTTTCCATAAATACTGAACACAGAGGAGGTCCCGGGGACTCTGGGCTCCCACCCAAATTTCCCCTCCAGAGTAAGTTGTCATAACCCACCGTGGTGGTTCTGTGACTCATCTGGCGTGTTCTATCCGGTTTGTGCTGTGAGAGCTCCTTCTAGCTCCACAGCTTCTTTCTTTCTTTCTTTCTTTCTTTCTTTC